AGCATGCCATTGGATCGCAGAGAAACACGGGATTGGCTGAGGCCAGGTGGTCCAACATGTCTGCGCCCTGATACGACGCCACACCGCACCACACTGCAGCAGTACAAACGCGAGCCTCGCTTCGCTCTGTATGCGTGATTTCGTGCTCAGTTTATGTTTCTTTGTTGCCAGCTATATTTTGTTGCTTGCAGCGTATTTACAAGGGTATTTTGTGTATATATCTCATTCTAACGCCTTTTATGATGCCGACCGTATTGGTGACACTCACTGGAACCGTTAAATTTGAAGAGTAATTAATGCTATATTTAACTTTTTAATCAAAACGCCCTCATGTTTTTCATCGATTATAATTATCCTTTGGTTAAGTGTGCTTTGTTACTCACAAGCATGGTAACCCTTAATCGCATCCGTCAGGAAATGGAAACATGTTGTTGTAAATGAAATATTCCCATGCTGACAAAATCACCATTGTGTAGCGTCTAATATATGGTCAAATGGTTTTGAAGTCTTATATTCGATTGCGTTAAACCCAAAACCTGGTTCTGCCTCTGAAACACTAATCCTTCACGTGTGGAATTTGGCCTCTAGGTGGTACCTCCACTCTACGCTATTCCCGACCGTCGTAACTTTGTAGTTGGTCACACATGGGACACAGTTGCTTGACGTGTGTGTGTCTAGATTTATGGGGCCTGCAGACACTGACGACATGGTCGATCACTCGTTTTGAAAGTTTGCTCCTCAGCCATCACTTGTGTTGTGCCGTGGAGATTTGGATTAGACAAATTACAGAGAGTTAGCTTGCAACAATTAGTGGACGTTCAATCCTTAAAGCTATTGTGGTACTTACAAGTGAACACCTTTTGTGTCCCTTCTGGCTTATTTAGAGGAAGGTAAGTAATAACGGGGTTTTTTTTGCGTCGTTAAGCATGACGTGGTAAATTCTTTCCTAACATCGAGGGTAACGATCTGTAGATATCTTTTTTATTTTCTAACTAAATTATTTTCTATTACGTTAATAGACGTCATCCTCTGATGACTTCACGTGCACTGAGATCCATTTATTTTAAATATGCGAACTTTATAGTCCTATTTTACTACTAATCTGGATTTCTACCATGTTTTCTCAGATGGGTATGAAGGTTATGGGTGTTATAGGCATATTGTTATGTTTTGTTTTAGCGTGTCTGGAATGTTTTTCTGTTGAATAATTCTAAATCCGGGTAATCGTTTTTCAATACTTATTTATTTCCCCATAAGTTGCTGTGTTCAGCACCCAACCGTTCTTATATGCTAGAAAACGTTTAATTTTTAGACCTGTTGGATGGTCCCCCGGTTCTTTCACTTAATATCTGTCTTATTTTGCAAATGCTTGCATATTTTAATGCTCTAACTATGGTCGTGGTAATTAATTGATTCACTAATGATTGACCTTAGATATTTCTTCAGACATAATTCTTAAATATTTGCCTCAAGTAGCTTAGTCTGTTGCAATTTTCTCTCAGACACCAGGTTACTCCATTATATTCGTACTTAAGTAACCTTCTAATAATCAGCATATTGCATGACAATTAGTAGTTTCCTTCTTCCACCTCTATCAGTTGCTAAAAAACTTAAACACTTCGTGTTAAAACATTTTTCTGTAAGTCTCAAAGCAGGCTGTACCCGCTCGGCAGTTCCAGAAAGTTCCTTTAAAATATTAAAAATATGCATTTCATCCAAAGTGGCCCTACCAATTGATAAGTTTTCATTTAAAACTAAGTGATTCCAAACTGCTGTTTCTACTTATATTGGCTAGCATTCCTTTGTTTCAAACAACTATCGCCTACAAGAGTATAGTGAGATTTCTGTGCACTTGAGTAACTAGCTGCATATATGTCATGTAAAATGTTGTGTGTAGTACTGATTGGAACATCCTTAGTTAATTTAGTATTAATTTACACAAACTGTTTTTTGGCTTATTGTAAGATGTGTGAACCTGATTTCACCGAGCCGTGGTCCTCAGATGGCGATAGTGTTTCTTCCGACAGCGTTTCATCGTCTTCAGATTCCGAAGCCAAATCATCTTCGGGTACAGTTGATCACCTTTCTTCTGGTGTGACTAAGGGAGTTCGTTTTCTGAAGTATGCGCTGTATTAGAATCCACAAATTTATGTTTGGTTGCCCATTATACTTCTTTAAAAGAAAGATTGCCCACATTTTTGAGTTTCGTCCAGCTCAAGAAGCTAGTATTCATAGGTTATTATTTGATCACTTGAGGTCATTCTGGATTGCATTATTTTTAATCTGTTTGGCATCTTCCACATTCTACTGAAGTGAATGCCATTAATTCACTGAATCAAATTGTCTAAATTCGTTTTGCTGCTTGATTTCAACTCAAAGCACAAGTTCAATGGGAAGGAATTTTAATGTTACGTGATTTTCAAGTCATCGATGGGCTGCTTTACATCATGACGTTTCGGCCTGCAAATTGCCAAGTATTTTTTAGTGCATTTCAGTGGTAGGTTGTTTGGTATTCCTCTAAAATATGTACTCGATGGCGCAATTTAATAATTGGGTAATGTGTCTATTCGTGCGTGCCAACTTACATGTTAAAAATCTGACCTTGTACCCTTTGTCCTAGGCGCGCTGGCGTGTTCACTAGGGAGGAAGTTATTGAACAGGCCATCGACCGTTGGACTTCTTATCTTCGTCTCTGTGGTAGAGCCATGACGGCACTGCGTGAGAGCATGGTGGAAACTTACGTCAAGCAGGCGGTTGACGCCAGGTCTGCTCGCCACCCTAATTCCTTCAGTGATCTCAGCGACATTATGAAACCAGGGCCTAGCGATTCACCTTCAGGTTCATCGCAAGCTTATCTTGGTAGTAAGCGTATATTGGCTTTGACTAGTCCGTTTTTTATTTATGGTTTCTAACGGAACCACCTTTTTAATGCACAGCTGTAGACTATGTAGTTTTATTTATAGATTTGTTAAAGTTTGTATATAATATTAACATTATGTTCCGCTGTGTTGTTTAAAATTTTACCCGTCATACATCTTAATCCCATGTAGAAATGAATTTGTGATCTCTTGCTAGCCTTCAATGCTCACTCTGGAGTAATCTCCCAATTAGACGTCGTACCTTTCGTTTCCTCTCCAACAGTAACTTTCACCATTATTGTGCCCCACGAAACTTGTGCTTCACTGTTGTTAAAACTACTTCTGTGCGTATTAAGCGAACTTATTAGTTCGTCTGCATGATAATATGTCTTACAAGGCAGACTCCATGTGGTGACGACGAACTTACATTCTCGCTTAGATTGACCTCGTATTTTTTTTTGAATGGCCTGCAACAAATCTAACATTTGTTTCAAAACTATTTTTTACCGCCGTCAATTAAAATTTGTCGGTTTTGCTTTAAGGCAGCCACCGTTTGCATGAACTTCGTGCTCTTCGACGCTTTGGACGCTATTCTAGCCGAGTAAGTACTTCATTATATTAAGCAAAAGTATTTCCGTAAGCGTATGCTTTAATTTAATGTGTGATCATTGCTCATTTTTGGTCTTAGCGCAACGATTTTTTTTAAAATGACTTACATGTGCTTTCGCTTTGCCCATCTTTACATTATGTATTTTGAAAAAAATGCGTCAGTGTTCAGATGAAAGGCTTACGAGTCTTCTGCCGGGTTCTGCAGTCGACGACTAATGTTTTGGTAGACAAGCTTTAGGGCGAGATCGTGTGTTTACGTTGTCCTCTTTGGCGAACCATTCTAAGTAGGAATAAACTCTGCCTTCACGATTCCAATTTCACATGTTCGCATAGTTTAACGGTACGATTACCCTGGCCTATAAGTTGGTTTCACACTGCCGCTAAATAACGTCCCTTGTTCCAGGTGGAAAACGCGAGGCGAGCAGCTGCAATGTCTAAGTTTGCTATCATGTCTACTCGATTGGCTCCGTGGCAGCGCTCAGGCGGTGGCCATCAGTCCTGTAAGTATCGGGACCCCACAACGACCACGTGGGAAAGTCGCTGCACCCGCACTTGCCTCCCCCTACTGCCTTACTGTGCTGCTCACTTAGTCCTTTCCGAGGACATACCGCCTCCACCCTCTTCCTCAACCCCTCGGGGGGACGGGGAAGTAGACGGTGAGGCGAGCGCTAGCACCAACTCAGGGGTTGTAAAACCTGGGAAGCCTGCTCGAAAAGTAAACATGAGTAAACTGCGTTCAAACTCCGACGCCACGAATCCGTCAACTTCGCTCTGCAGCAAAGTTAGCAATGTTCAGTTCCCTCCTCAGGTGAGTGATCCTTGAACCTGGTAATAGTCCCTTCCCACAAGTCTTCTGCTTGTTTCCTTTGGATTGTTTTGCATCCCGTATTGTCACCGGTTTTGAAAAAGTCGATATGTTCTGACAGTTGTTTCTTTCACTTTTGTTTACAGGCCATATTTTTGGTATTTTTATCAGTGAAATGCGGCCAGTGTGTTGCGGATTTCCTGTTGTTGTAAAGTAACGATGTTTTCTTTAACTACTTTTGGTATCGACAAAATTTGCCACCAACATTTAATCACTTGAATAAATTGATTTTACTTGAAATTGTCTTGAGCTAAGCGTAAAATAACCCGGAACTTATAGTATCAGATTGGTGCAAAAGTAGTCTTGTTTTCAACGCTCTGAATAGTATTTATTAGGATTTTTCGCCTTGACTAATTTATACCAATTTCCGCGGGAGTCTTGCCCATGAATTTAATTTCTTGGTCGTGGCTTTTTTTAATTTCAAATAAAAATCTTGTATTCGGCCCTTACTTTTTCACCAAACCTATACTTGGTGGTCAATTAAAGAAACAAAATTGAGATATTGTCACTAAAGAGCCTTTCACGTAGTTATTCGTTAGAATGCGGATCAAAATCAACCTTTACCATAAATCTGTTCCTGTTCTTATTTTAGTTTCTTTTTCGTAAATGTGGCGGAGGGTCAAATAAGGATTGTCCAGAGCCGGTTATCGCCTGGAGCCCCACGTCGCGATGCCCCCAGCACGCAGACATCGACAGCGTCTGGCCGCTCGACGCCAAGGCGGAAGACGCGACCACTGCACCTCCAGACGACCTCCAGAGACCCACCATCCACCCACTTTTAATTCAGTACTTACAGAAACGACGGGAGTATCAGGGTTCAGATTAACTTGTGTCCAAATTTATTGTACATTTCTTTTCTGTGTAAATAATAGTATCTTAACCGGTTTTCCTTTTGGACTTCGGTTTTTTGGCCATGAATGAGCACTTCAATTGCGTTTTCGTTTCCACCAATGCATGACCCTCTTACCAAAGAGAGCAGTGTGTTAGTCTAAACAAAAGACGAATTCTCGGGGTTCTAAGTGGACCTACTACTTAAAGCAAGGCGTAAGCATTTATGTGTGAAGATCTTAAACCTATCAGAAGCTAATTCTGCAGAATACAATTTTACTTGAATGATAATGTAGGCTAGTTTATGTTCATGCTATATTTAACGTTGCCATCTGCCATTCCCCTAAAAAAATAAACAACCGTGCCTTTATTCCCCAGAATTTGTAGTTTATCACCTTCGGAAGATAATGTTTAGACTGCATTAGTGCCAGTGAAATGTTAAAACCTTCATTTTGGCGATTCTTTATCAGTAGTATTGTAGCGCTGTTACATGTTATTTTTGTAGTACCCCATGTTCTGACATCATTTATCTTTACAGTATGGTTCCGGACGTCCTAGTGTCATGACTTCAAGTGTTTTGCTGTGTGGCGATTTCAGCTTTCCGCTCACGACTTTAATTTGTAATATCTACGATGTGTCGAAATTTAGTTTTAGCCTGTTACCGGCTCAATCAGTCAACATGAAATACGAGTATGCCGAATCGGACATCATTATCGTATCGGCATGCCGGACACCCATTGGACGATTCTGCGGTAGCTTGGCTAGTGTTCCCACTCACGAACTCGGTGGTCGCGTAATTTCAGAATGTATTAAAAAGGTAATTATGATATTTCCTAATTTTAGATTTGCTCAATCATACCAAATGCCCCACTTTGGCCGCTAGTGCCATTTAAGTGTTGGTTAGTTGGCAGGTGAGGCGACCATAAAAAGCAATCAGTTTGAATAAGAACTCTATGATTTCCCATAAAGCGCCTGATTTGTTGAAGGGTGCCCTGTGTGGGCGTGAAACACACGCCGATGCAACTCATTATCTCTGTTACGGTCCGATTCGACGCCAGGTACCCAGATAAGAAGGCGAAGACCAGAGTCGACGGAGGCTCTGTCGTTTAATAAGCCGCTGCGTCTTGGTGTATTCAACGACAGAGAGCGTGAGTGATTGGATATTAAAATGGCGGATTAATGGAGTCTATTTACACACAGGGACACCCCAAGGTACTCGCTGGAGTTCGTTGGGGTGGGCACGTGGCTGGGGTCGACTCCATAGGGCGTCCGCGGGGGTTAGTGAAGATGGGAAGCGGTCCAGAACGAAATGTTTTGATGGCTGTGGATCCACATGATTCACCACAGGTTCAAATATAGACCCGGCTAAATTGACTATATCTTTATTTTAAGCATTTTCCAGTTAGTTGTTTGAATTTATCGTCTGGATTTCCGTGCATTGCTTCCCGGTTAATGGTAGTGGTCGTCATTAATCTGCTCCGAATATTGTGCCCACACAAAATTTCTGTGCTAGTATTTCTTATCATCTTCCCACTTCCTTTTACACGAAGATCTGCTCTGCTTTGTTGAAAGGCAAAACACATAAATTGACGAAATATTCCAGTTATATAAACTCTGCATTGGATGTCAGTTTGTCTGATACAATGACATTTGTTTAGTCAAAGAAGCACATATTAGGCCAGTCAGTGTTGTGTTACTGGAAATGATTCGGAATTTTAATGCCGGAGGTTTTAATTTAACGACTGAGTGCGCATTACACAAATGAGTAAAATGTTTACGGCTACTGAGGACATTTTTGGGCACCTCTTCCACTACTAGACAATTAGTCACAAACGTGCTTATGCTAGTAATAATTAGGTTTACGTTGTAACCGTGATCCCTCTGCTCTATTTGCCACAGGCTACTGAACAATTTGTTGGGCTGACGGAACACGAAGTTTTAATGAAGGTGAGCGAGGTGATAATGGGCCAGGTGTACACGGCAGGTGGAGGTCAGAATCCGGCCAGACAAGCTGCCAAAGCTGCTGGTAAGTCGTTACCTGCGCTCGGTTGCTTTGTGGCTTTCACGTAGTGCTTGCGACCTGAGGGCTACTAGAATCGTCGATCAAACTTCATGCATAGTCGCTTTTTTTCAATTTTCCGATCCCCGTTATGTCGTGCCAGTATCACCAATGTTCATGAACCATGGCGCGTAGTCGTCTTGACTACTCCCTTCATCAAAACGTAAGAATTTAGTGTATGACACTTATCTCTTCATGTATTTTCATTACATTGTGATGGCAAGAATTAAAACTAATTACTGTTACAAATTACTTTGAGAGTTTGTCTGTGGTTTTTCTCTTTCAGCATCCAAATACATAAAAGTCACGTCGTCTTGAAACGTTAGATTTATAAATGCAAATTTTATTAGTAATTTGCGTATCCAAAGCTATTGCTATACAAAACTTCACTTGTGTATGCACACTCTTCGATGCCATTGAGTCATCGTTTCGGTGTCAACAAAAGTAATGCTCCTTCATATTTGCCATTTGCTTTCGATTACTAGGAACACCCACAAACAGACAAGTTCTTGAGGGATAGCTTCGTAGTTTTATAGGACAGACTCTGGACGCTAATTATTGGTTTGTAAGTGACTCATTTGGTGTTGTCCGGTACACCAGTAGGTTTTGCAGGATGTCAGCAGATGCCCGCTTCCCCCGTGATGCAGTTGAGGCCCACTGCAAGATGTTGCCTGATCGTTCATCCCGTAGATGATGGGTGGAGAGGGGGTTGTGTTGCCTACAGAATTCCTGGTTGTGTTGTAAGGTGAATTGGCAGTTATTGCCTAAGACGACAGTTTCTGGAATTCCATGCTGGTTGAGAATTCGAGAAAATCTTTGTACCTTCCGACCATTGTTGAGGAATGCATTTGCACAATCTCTGGCCATTTCGAATGTACGCCAACCATCACAAAATTTCAAGTTGCGTCGATAGGTTTGTGATAGCCCAAGGAATGGGAGCAATTTTAAGGGGATGTTTGTGGGCGGTGGAAGCAGCTCACATCTAGGTCTGCGATTTGTCGGTCCATTGACGGTCAGCGTGTGAATCTGCGATCAATGGACACCATTCGGCCGATACTGGGGTTCCCATAATGAAGTTGGAGAATCACTCGCAAGCAATGTGTGCGCACCGACCACCAAAAATTTGTCTGCAACATAAAGGAACTTGCCTCACTAGTTAGGGGACATTTTACCCCATTAAATGAGGCGTTGCGAACGTCTTTGTGTTATTAGTGTAATGAGTCGGCCATCACTTCGAGTGCCGCTTGCTGTTTCTAGGAAAGTGAAGATGGTCTGTGTGCGCGGTGCTGTGGATTCCGGCGTGTAGCGGGTTACCAGCGCTCTCGCCTGAGTAAACCCTGTTCACTGACCTGACGACGAAAATGACTCATACCCTCTTCATTGGTTAAAGTTTTCAGACGCCTGTCATCCGTTTACTCATCCACGCACTACGACAGATACTTGGGTGGTGTGACGCTAATAAACGGTCGTGTCCTTTGTCGCCTCTTGTTTCACTTCTCTCGGGTTGTTACGGGCTGTTAACTAGAGGGTTGTCAGGTAGTGCTAATTCTCTAGCTACTGCAGGTGTTTGTACAGCTCCGTCAGTCCAAGCTCATGAAACAGAAATCGACGCGAGCGCAGAATCCTGACGATCTGAATTGAATTATTGGTCGTGTCTGCTTCGTTTGATAAATCCGAATTTCGCCTGTTATTAATTTTGCAATCTGTCGTTGAGTATGCCATTCTAATTAGCTTATAGTGTACTTTATTTGTTTCCTGTATAAGCTCAGCGTATGATTTTGGTATTGCGGCTTTCCTGCTCCTTGTGTAACTACCTTTGGACATACTGCAGAAATTGCATTCCGATACAGAAAGGCGAACACGTACTTGGAAACGTTTCTTAAATCCTCTTTTCCTCACAAGTCATTATTGCCAAAGTAATATCGTGCCACTTACTTTTGATATTACGGTCTATTCCCTCTTTTGGTCGTGTCATACTACGTATCATTTTACGTTGCCATTGTTAGCCGCAAGTTAGATTTCCATGAATGTTTCCTAGGCCTTCCCTACACAGTGCCTGCTTGGGGTCTAAACATGCTCTGCGCCTCAGGCATGAAGGCTGTTTGCCAATGCACGCAGATGCTGAAAGTGGAGGGTGGGCTTGCTGTTGCCGGCGGTCAAGAGTCCATGTCCCGGTGTCCCCATATAACCCCTTCAGGATGCAGTCTTAGGCGGGGAGGCGGTGGTGGCAACGGCAGTTGTCTACCCGTCTTTGGAGACTTTCGTTTGGTCGACAGCCTTCTTACTGACGGCTTGGAGGACGCTTTCCACGGCGTTCACATGGGTGTCACCGCTGAGAATATTGCCCAAAAGTAAACTTTATGAATTTTTTTTTATCGTGTGTGCTTTGCAAATAAGTTTCCGTGAGGTAAAACTTGTCGCCACTACATCCCACTTAGTTTGTAACTATGAAAAATTTGCATGCTAACATTTGTAAATAGAGACTCAAATGGAAAATTAATGTTTCTTCATAAGTCTAACCTTGATTACTTTTTGATAGCCTCTTGGCCTGCTTCAGATTGTAGGTGCATCGCTTTTTAGCAGCTATTAATACTTGCTATTCCAGTGCGACTAATGTTTATTTTGTTTTTTAATGGGTCTCTTATAAGCCAAATCTTTAGCCAATGATTATCAGGATTTATTTTAGACATGTTTCTGTACCTGTTACACAAGTTAAAGGCATGGCTCAGCTAATTCATGGATAACAACTTCAAATCGTGACTACTATGACATGTATTTCTGTCATTGAATGGTAGCAGGAAATGCTAGTGGTATGCTTAAAAGTCCTTGTTTTGGCCTCCAGGTACCAAATAAGTCGGAAAGATCAGGACGCTTTTGCTGTTGAATCTCAGGCAAAGTGCAAACAGGCAATGGAAACAGGAAAATTTAAGTCTGAAATAGTCCCAATCACCATCCCCAACTGCGACAAACGCGGGTCTGTACGTGACTAGTGTTTAAGAGCCTTCTGTACTAGTTTTTTGTATCTTCCCTGTATTCTATTAGACCTACTCTATTCGCCCCTAATCCGTAGGCACACCATTTTATGCAACTGTTCCTCTTGTTCCTTTTTAACTCGAGGTTTGCTATGCTTTCTTCGCCATGAGGCATTATTTTGACAAATCAATTCCCAAAATTTGGAATTAAATAAGCAACAGCAGTCTGAAGATGCTATTTTAGATAAGTTTCAATTGTTTTATGATTGATTTACAACACGCCTCGTTACCGATCCCTCGAGAAGCGGTGATTTGGAGCATTATTTGTTAAAATTTCATAAGTAGTTAACATTTAAAGGAATGTTTGCTGTGTAATTTATTAATGGCATTTATTTACATCAATTTAGTTCAGTTTATAATACCTCTTCTCAACGCCATTAGTCATCTTGTTATTGGAAATCCCAGTTTTGAGGTTTTTTCATGTGATTTTAATTTTTTCCGCGTCATAAGAAATGCAACTTTCATTTTTTTAAGATTACCATTTAAATAGTTTACACCTTCGGGACTGTGAAGCAAATTTTTCACCATATTGCTCAACGCAGTCTTCATATTATGAAAGCGTTTTCCGTGTTAATTGATATCCGCCTACTAAAAATGACCTAAAACCATTTACCAACGTTAATCCTTAAAAGCCTTTCCTATCCTTTTGAAATCACTTTCACCTTTTTAGCCTCCTTGTTTTGACTTATGGGTACTTTAACCACGATACTGATAAAGCAAGCGGGCACGATTCGATCGACTTTTCGTGGATGCACTGCAGTGGACAGGCGGCCACCGCGCGTGCGTGCTGCGTGCACGCTGGCCCAACTGCTCCAATGACTCACCCCTTCTGTTATTGGCTCCTGTTAGCAGTGGCCTGTTACGCACACAGGGCCGCTTGGCTGTTGTGACACTAGTAAATGGCCGTGTTTTCTGTCGCCACTTTTCTTCCCTCCCCTCGGGTTGTTAACTAGTGGGTTGTAAGGTAGTGCTACTACATGGGAAACTTTTTCGAACCCACTAAAAATCATGCCTGCGTATTTTACCTTTTAACGGGTTATCAAAATTAATGGTAATTTGATGAGTCGATAAAGAAATGCTGCTGGTGCTTTTGTAGCCTGTTCTTAGGACGCATTATGTACTCGTACACAATTTCTTTTTGTGGGCGGGGAGCCTCCATCAATTGATCACAACAAATGCTCTTTGTCCTATTTGGTGTTTGAGGTTCTTTAATGGAGCTAAATCAAACCGGAGCAAGTCTATGCCAGTTAAAATTTGAGCTTTTTATTATTTGCAAAAAAAGTTTCTTGGCCAGTTCACATTCTAAGGATTTTTTACATTCGTCAACAATGTACCTCCTCCCCATATATACCTTGGTAATTGCATTGTGTTAGCTTCCTCTTGTTTAACCTTCAATGTTTGTAGAAAGGGATTTTGCTTTTTTTTTAAAAAAAATGCCATGATCTGATTTCGTCGTCAGCTTTGATGCTATTGCTTGTAGTCTAATTTCTTTCCAGGAAATTAACATTTGCTTTTTTCTCAGGCTACCGAAATTAATGTCGGTTACTTTTCTCCAAATTTCTTCAAATTAGCTTTTTTCTCTTTAGTCAAGTGGGCCAATCGTGCTTGCAAACGATGAGCCGCCTCGACCACAAACAACTATGGAGGGGCTTGCAAAACTGCGACCCGCTTTTTCCAACGGGTTGCCCTTCACCCAAGAAGCGACTGTTACCGCAGGAAACGCCAGTACCCTTGCCGATGGAGCTGCGGCCTTGCTACTTTGTAGGGCTGATGCCGCTAAGTCATTGGGTGGGTATTTTCTAACGCGCTACCACATTATCCATCGTCTGTAATGACGAGTCCTAACTACGCCCAAATGAGCACGTTTACGAACTGCTTTCCAGAAATACAATTCCTTTAACCCAATTTTTAACTACTTTAATTAAATTAACTGATGCAAACTTTCGTCTGTACACACGCCCGTTGGACAATTATCCAATGCCTCACAGTTAACTAGTTTATTTCGTTCTGGCTGAGAACATAAAATCGGTCTTCTCTGAAAATAACGGCGGTATCTTAAATTGGTTTCACCATTTAATTGGATGTATTGTTTACTCTGATAACGTACCAACTGACGTCTCCGAAATATTTTCGAATCACCCAACTTCAAGTATGCTGCGTGATTCCCGGAGTTTGTACTTTCATTTTGCTTCTGTAGGTTTAAAGTGTCCACTTGGACGGATTGTTGCGTGGCACCAGAGTGGTTGCGAGCCGCACGTCATGGGTCTTGGTCCAATTGAATCAGTTAAGGGTCTAATGGAAAAGCTCTCGTGGTCCATGGATGACGTTGACCTATTTGAGTTGAATGAGGCTTTCGCTGCTCAATCGCTTGCTGTAAGTTCTCAAATTCTTAAGTAAAACACCTGAGCACTTTGAACCGATCTGGGGAACATTGTTTATTTGCGTATTTCTTTCGCTGCCTCCAGTTTGTATTGATCCAGCACTTTATCTGCCAGTTAAATTATCATTGTTATCTTGCCCATATTTCCCATACTTTCGAACTTCGTGTTTAGGTATTGAACGAACTCGGGTTGCCTAAAGAGCGGACAAACGTGAACGGCGGTGCGATTGCTCTGGGTCACCCACTTGGCTGCAGTGGTGCTCGAATCCTGGTTACGTTAGTGCATAATCTCCACCGCCTTGCTCACAGCGACAGCCAGTTGGCTGGTGGTGTCACCGGGGTCTCGACAGGCGACCGCGCCAAACGCGACGGCAGGCGTCGTGGCATCGCTGCTCTGTGTGTTGGTGGAGGCATGGGACTCGCATTGGCGGTGGAAATTCTCTCCCACCTGACCGTTCCTGACTGCCCTTTAATTTGCTCTTAATACATTTCTCTGTATCGAAGGCTTATCGTTGTAGAATATATAAATGCACAGATTGGGTGTATTTTCGTGACATCATTATTGATTTGGCCCTTCTTTTGCCACACATTTTTGGCGTTTTTGCACACTTTATTGCCGAAATACAGGAATCTAGTTATTATACAATGTGATTTATGTTGAGTAAACACTTTGTAGAGATCTGATTTGTTAATCTTTATCCGTACCTGCGCGTGAAAGAGACGTAAATTCTTCCAGTAGGCTGTCCTCATTTCTTTTTCACTGTGATGTCAGCTATTGGAATTCTAGCCATAATGCCTGACTACCTTTAAAAATGTAGTCTTGGGTTTTTTATGTACAAGCGGTGTAAGCCTGCCTTTGATTTATTTGGGGCAGACACATTAACCACTTTTTTGTACGTCCTCATCGATCTGTGTATTAATAAATTTGACAGTGCACGATGTCTTCCCCTGTGACGTGTAATCCAGAAGCTCTGCTTCAACAGACTTCCATGAGCAACCTGGAACGGGTCTTCGTTCAGCGAGATTTTTCAAAGGGCACCTCAGTCAGATTCCAGACTTCCTTACCTCAGCGATTGACGGGAAAGGCAAGCAGTGTTTTCGCGTTCTTCATCCGTAATTTTTTGATGTTCAAGACAGTCTTCAAACACTCGTAATTTCTAACGATATCTAATTGCTGTGACGAATTATTGCGGGGTTGGCTGTTCCGTGCTACCTTCCAGTATGGGTTTCTATTCAAATCATTAAAGATTATGACAAAAAAATATCAGAATCTTTTCAAGTGAATAACCTAAAAATGGCCAGTTATTAGTTACTTTCCGATACTTCTTTTTATGTAACCTGCTTCCTTGTTTGTCGTCAGCAACCCTTTTCTTCTGGGATGTTGGCAGGAATTTGTTAATCAATACACTGCTTATGTGTGCCTAGATGTCAGGTCTGTGCATTTCTACGTTTCTGCCACAGATTTCTGCGGAAGAGTTCGCAAAGGCCATTTCTGATTTGAATGAAATGTTTGACAACGCAGAGGCTTTAACTCCCGGTGTGATTTGCGAAAACCTGACTGGATGCCTCACGGCCTACCTCCTCTTCCTATGCATGCCCACTCATTACGAAAGGGTGTGTGTACATGTGTCGCGAATTTCTCATGCTTTACTCCTATTTTGCGTACTTTTAAGATTTTGGTGGGCTTCGTAAATGCCCAACCCAAATATGTCATGTAGAAATGGCATCTCACGTAGAGCTCCCGTAATTCCCCTCCGTAAATTATTGCATCACTGTCACCATTACTCCACTATTCCAAATCAAACGATGGGCAAGTGGCACAGTAGAAGTACAACATGACCGTAATGACGCGTTTAGCCATAGGTTCAGTCAGAACCTTAGGATAATTATGCTCAGCATTTTTTAGAAATCATTAGATCTACGCTAGCCAATTTCTTTTGTAGATGTTGGATAAAATCGCGTACCGCGTGATCCAACTAAACGACCAGGTTTTCATGCCCCGCGGCCTGCTTATGATAGATCCTGCCGAGCGCGGACTACGCGTGGTAAGTCGGATTAATCCTCTTTAACCACCCAGTTCTCAATTTCCATAAGGCTGTTTTACCTTATAGATTGAAATTTGCATCCTGAACAGCGCCGATGCAAGCAGCTTACAGCCACTATAAGCTGGAATTTTGATGCGGTTTCAGACAAGCTCTGGGGCTGTTGTATTTTTATTTCTTAAACCCGAACTTCCCTCCTCGTCCCTTAATCTACAGCTTATTGTATATCCCGAATGTGTAAACCCTTAAGATAATTAACACTCCACCGTTCTGCCATGATTTATATCTTAATTGGAGTAAGAAAAATGTTGACCTTTTGAATGTATTTTTCTGTGGCGGTGAAGTCAGAAATTAGTTGTTAGAAGACACATTCACGCATAGACACACGTTTGTTATCAGCATTGTAAAATTATATTTTCATAACATGTGTAGAAAAATTACAATGTCTTGAATAGTTGAAAGTTAGAGAAAAAACGCGAGAAAGTGCTCGCCTCAATGATAATTATAAAACGCAATAGAAAAGGGCAGGGATGCTTTGCGCTGGCTTGGTTAATGAAAGACAGCCACGAATCCGTCAAGTTGGTTCCCACGGCTACTGTGGCAGCAGCGGAGGCGTAGTTTTTGCTAGTTCGGTGAAGTAACAGGAGCAAATACGGCGGCGTAATTACTAATCATGAATTCCGTGCAAACACATCCAGCAGCGGAGAAACGTTCATAGTCTCTTGTCGGCGAATCCGGCCACATTATATTGGGACTAAACAATAAGGCCAAGCTCTTGGCGTTCATTTGGTTGACGCTTTCCAGAGAAGCGACTCTAGAAAATGAGCAAATCGAAAGTCGGTCTTTGTTAAAGCATACAAAGTCAAAGGTACATTTCCGTCTGTTTTTAACTTGTGTTCCCGTGGTGATAGTCTCTTCTTGAAACTTAATAATAATATTATTATTAACGCTTAATTGAATCTAGGCCCCACTCTTAAGGGATTGAACTAGATAATACTGTAAATGTGAAAAAGACGATTATGCGAAAATAGTGTGGATTGAAAATATACGGCATAACTCAGCAGTGGCATGCGGGCGGTCAGAAGAAGCTTGTCCGAACAGGTATATGTGACTCATCAAAGCATTACATTGGTCTCTGCTCGCAAGCGCTCCACGAACACACACATACGCAGTGACGCGTCAAGATTAACGGGTGAACAAACCCTTGTATACATTGCGTCGTACCACATTACTTGGATGTCAACGTGCAAAAGCGTTGCAATCCAGCTTGGTCGGTGTTACAGTTTCTCGTTCAATATAATGCTATTTCGCCTGACGACCGCGTGTGTTGAGTTTATTCACAACATGTGAAGTGGTGAGGTTGGGGTGCCTTGACGTCTGTTACGCCATGCCATGGACCGACATTTGTCTCGGTAACACGTTGCGGTGCAGCTATTACGCTCGTATCATCATCACCATCATCATAATCAAAGAAATCAAATAAAAATAATAACTACACATTACCGACGCAGATTACAGCGGAATTGCCTCGAACTCAGAAAAAAACCTCGAGTAATTTTAATAGCAGATTGAGACCGTCTTTTTACTCGGTACCGCTGAATTCTAGTCTTAATTTACTATATGAAAGTTTCAGCAAATTAAAACAACTTACTTATTCAAATGTTCAAAGAGCATCTTAGCAGTTGCATAGTGATATTCAGGTAGTTTCTTCAGAATGAGTTGCATTTTACTCACATTCTGATCAATTGAGTAGGAGTTCATCGTTGAACTGAAATCCACTTAAGCAGAAAACGTAATCATTGTTAACCTCATATTTGAGTATAAGTGGAGATAAAATTTTTGACTTACTAAGGTCTTGATATAATGCATGAGACAGAAGAGGTTCCTTGAGCTCTCGCAAGAATAACTTAAGGCTATCTGAAAGTTCATAGATGTCCCATTCATCCGAATTCAACGAGTATTCACCTGTTACAAGGGCGTTTATTACGTAATGAATGGCCAGGTTGCCATTGACAAGCCTTACAAATAGTGGCACTTACTGTGATTAACTTGGTTTCGCAGCTTTTGAATAACTCCCCTGTTCCCACTTTTACGGTAAATTCCAACTGCTTCGGGACCTGATAATGTTTTGGCAAAATAACAGGTGCTAACATAATAATCGAACAATCTTTAGCATAGAAAAATTAGCTGATAACGGCTGAAAAATGAGTGCATGGTATTTGCTTTTAGCACAAAATTATCAAGCAAATCCCAATTTTTGCTGTTTCTGACAGCAGCACTACGTACCATAGGATTCAATATCTGTTGCTTTATTCAACTGAATTTGGCAATTGGTGAACGATCTTTGCAACCAAAAAATGTCAGCATGCAAAAGCAAAAGTGAAATAAGAGAGTGGGCTAGTTGAGGAAGGAAATTTGGGCATTACCTCGGGCTTCAATGGCACGAATTACACGTGTAACAAATGTTGGTACTTTGGTTTGTTCCTTTTCACACAGTTCACACAGATTTGAACCAAACACAGGCTCATCTGCAAAATAAAGCACACGGCTAAATTAACAAACACGCCGTGACCACCGGCTACTGGGAAATACAATTAACATGTTCCTCGAGCATTCATAGAGCAAAGTGTTCATAGTGCACGTCGACAAGTGTGGCAGGGGCTGCTATGGAACGCTGAATTGCTGGTTTCAAGCAAGCATTCTTGTGAAAAAAGTCATATTCCAGTATTTCTTCCTGCAGGCATTCATGCCTGCAGGAAAAGAGATTAACATCAAACACAATGAGGGTGTTCAAAAGCGTCCCTTCAGACCGAGGTCACCTTGACACAAGAGCATGGTCACCGTTTTCAAAGTATTAGTAGTAATCGAAGTGATTTGGATGAAGGTTCGTGGTAATACGAAAGTAGTATCAGAAAAAAAGGTCTAACAACCTTTTTTTGAAATTTACGAGACTAAATTTACAAAGGCCAACCATATTACACTTTTGCGGTCAGCATTGCGTTATTTTTCGGTATACTTATTCAAAAAAGGCAAAATTCCCTCAAGCGCCAATTTACTGAGGTGACCTCACATATAATCTGGTGTTCCCAAAACAATAAAGGTTTAAACAAGCTATGGAATGAATTTAGCTTTTTTAAAGAACTATTAAAAGAAATCGAATTACAGACCACTCATTTTCCTTAATATTGGTTTGTTGACAAAAGATTACACTTACCCAAAAATTTTAATTATTTAGTAGGTTATAATTACGACGAACAGACGTTTCCTTCAAATATCTAAATGGTGCAATTTTTTAAGTTCAAGACTGGATTTTTTGGTTTACAGAAGTTATGAAATAACTGGTACCTCGAATTTCAGCCAATGCAGCATACACACAAAACTCAGAGCCGAGTCCACATAGCCACTAGCCTTTCTTTTACTTGCTAGACACATTGTGTTGGATATTGCCATGGTATACTCGTAACGCAGTTACTTCGACAATTGTATCACTTTAGAGTTCCAGTAACACATGATTCGGTGGAAATTAACTCAAGACAGAAGTATTAATGCCAAAGGTGGCAGTCTAAACGTAGGATGGAGTAAAGATCAGCCACTGAAATGTCTCAGAAGACAATTAGGGGGGACTGAAGCATCGAATAAATTTAATTAGGCGCACACACCGACACCGGAAGTTTCGGACAATCAATTTAGAAGCTGCAACGTGTCCAAGTGATCTGGTCAAAATACACACACAAACGTCCACCGCGTAGCCCAGCTAGTCATAGTCGTGGAGTGGTGAATAATTCATGTGAATAAATACTTTCACGATTTATACCGGTTATTTTATCCCCTTCTGCCCTGCAGAGGATCAGGTACATTGAGAAATATTGATAAACGTAAATTCGGTTAGAAAAGCAAATAGAGCGTTGCTTTTCGTCGTAGAGAAAGCACTAATTTTTGGAGAAGCTAATGGTGGATTTCGGAATGTGACTAATTTTTTTTTCAAAGGGAAAATGACCTCGTACCTCCAGACCCAATTTTATCGAAAAGGGGTCAAAGCAGCCGCCATAACACCGAAATGTACACAAGAGCACAATAAGACGACAACTCAACACACGCTCTCGCTGCCACAAAAGCTGCTAACAGGCATACACAAGCAAACGCATTAAGGACACACGAGGCGAAAACTACCTTTTGAGGTCAAGCGATTAATGTTCAGCCTCAAGTTTACGGGCTGTCACGTACCCTGCAAGTCTGAGTAAGTGTTAATGCCTGTGCTCCAACTTTTTCTAATAGTTAATACGAATGTGTTAGTGCAGTGCATGTTTAATTAGGTTCGCTGATAATTCGTTAAATTCGGGAGTACCTAAAGTAACTGCCTAAATGAATAATACAAAGTCGAGCAACTGACACACAAATGAACAAGATGTTTATACTGTCCTGTATGGGGTACAAAGCATTCGACGGCAGTTTATGACTAGGTAATCATTCACTTAGATAAGCTTCAGGGTTAGAAATGAATCGAATATATCCGTTACTGTATTAGCCACTGAAGTTACATCGCATTAAAGAAATTAAGCATTTCACGAACCGAAGCCCAGGCCATGTGTGTGTGTGTGCCTGCGAGAGGAAAAACTAAACCTCGAAACACCGTGACGACAACCACAGAGACTCACTTTTGAGGATGCCTGAGGCCCGAAGACTTTCTAAAGTGGGTCGCCTTCGGAAGAATTCACGGAGCATTACAATCACTTTTTGATCAACGCTGGGCGGTGGACCTAAATCGGAAAATACAGTGGAAGAAAGACAACATTTTGCATGCCCAGCGATAGATGTTAATGCGTGTGTGTGTGTGTGTGTGTGTGTGTGAATATTTGTTTACATAAATTGCGTTAAGGGGCAGGGAAACGCAAGTTTCTACCTATTCAGTACTTTCATAGAAATCTCTCAGATGACGTGGTCGCACAACTGGGTCGCATGAAACTGGCAGGAAACCGAAGCAGCGTCTACTACTTGAAGATTCAACCAGAAAATGATAATAATGACGTCGTCAAAGAAGGGGGTGGTTAAACACATTGAAGTCGAACGGTACCACTGGCATAAAACTACACAGAGGGTGTGATGATTCAATAAGCAGGATGCCAATCACTTATTTTAGATCACGTGTTTACCAGTGTATGTACAATACACTGACAAATTAGAGCTACATTAATGACATTGGCTGATCGGGTGCACGCAACGCACGCGGGCGATAAAAGCGCCAGACAGGTGTGTACAAGATGTCGACACTTACGGCTCAGTGACAACTGAATTGAACGCAGAGAGCATTAAGATCACAAACGTACTACATCCCAGCATATAAGAACTACTTTTCTATTGATTCAAAGCCGAGATTAGCAAGGATGTTACAACAACCGAGAGGTGTTTATCTGGATGATCAGAAATCAATTTTTGATACTTTGAACTGATCAGCAACCGATTACATCAGTGTAGCTCACCTCAGGCAAGCAAACCAAAAATCCAACCGTGTCGAAACTCGACAATGCAGAAAAATATGTGAATACAAGCTGTTCGATTTTGACTTACGCGTTGAAAAGGCCCTTCGGTCAAATCGATCTTCTTTCTGGATAAATGAAAGTTAATGGTGAAGAACAGGCTTAAGAATCGCTGCGTTTACTTATGGCAACAATAATGCTGATCGTTTTCAATTTTATGCCAACTCAAATTATGTCCGCGACAGAATTGCACGAGAAAACCAGTTATTGATAGAATGAACATTAAAAAGTCTATGAAGTGGTCGCTTTCCCGTGTTACGTAATAAAACAGCTTTATGCGAGATAGGGCAGAGTCATATTTCATACATAGTAGTAAATGGCTTGGAACTGCTTAAAAATCCCAAACAATATCCATGCATTTACAGGCACAGAAAGCATCTTCTATATAAAAATCACTCGTTTAAAAAATTTTGCAAATTTATTTTATGGATGAGAAAATGCACTGATTCCTAAAACTAAGCGCAAAGCACTACGATAATCATATCCGTTTACGGTTATTGGTGTTTTTAAAGGTTGACCGATAATAAATTGCAAGAAAATTGAAAAAATTCCGGATATCAGAGTCACAAAAAGAGTCGAAGGTTTTCGTCTCTAATTTAACTACTTAGCACAGTTAAGGAATCCACAAATCTAGCACAATTAAAAGTGAAGGCTTCAAAATAAGTAATTTTGAATGCATCCACTTCTTCACAAAAATTTCATAAAACTCGCACAAAAGAAAATACACGTTGCTTGCGACTTTTGACCTGATTCAGCCACCGCATTACTAAGGAGCGAGAATTTCTAAATACACCTATCGTCCAGAGTCGTTAGCATGAGACGCGGTAACAAAAAATCGGTAAAGAGTTCATACTTCAATCAAGTTGGACACAGAACAAGGCAACTTCAATAGAACGCTATTCGGTTTTTAAATCCTCAAAGTGTTGTGTGGATGAATAAGGGAACAAAGACGAAATCTAAAAAACGCATACGTCCAAATCCTGAGAGTACTGAAACGCCGTCTCCCAGGCTTTTCGCAGCTCAGCAGTAGGAGTTTCAACGAGATATTCGACGACGTTATCGGGATCTGAAGAGTCCCTCAACTACAAGTTGAGAAAGAAAATACACTAAGGTTTCGAACGTCGCTTGACCTGACAGAAAACCAGGCAAGTTGTGACCACACCTGATTAAAACCACAGTGACATACTTAGGTAAAGGCATCACAAGGGCCACATCATCGCACACGGTTGACAGTGAACGTGACTTTGGTTTACCACTGTATAGTATTGCAAATGCTAGCGAAAGCAGATAAATAAGGCTTGTGAACATTGACCATGGTACCTGTGATGTATTTTCTAATAAGGACTGAGGTTACACATCACTACAACATGACCAATCAAAAACTTCCCATACAATTCTCGTGTGTAACCTTCCAGAGGGCGGATGGGGTAGGTTCACGTGAACACAAAAACTCACAACTCAGAAAAGCACACATGGAGTCGCAATTGACTTAATTCTAATGCAAATCTGCGCATGTTATTTGAGACCCCGCGGATGCTCCTCCAGCAGTTAAACTCGCTGCCACGTGCAATGCGCGAAAGGCACGCGTAGGAGCTTGCGAAATACGATTTCTAGTCAGAAGTAATTGAATAATTTAAAATCACAAAAAGTGATATAAACATATTGACGGGGTTTACCGATTCATTTTGGCATTCACTTTGTTTAGTCTTTTTTTATTCTGTTCAGCTGCTTGCCCAATTTGCAGATTGGGTACCCGCTTAGAGTTACCTTTACTCACGGCACAAGACCCGTTAACGGATTCATCCAGTTTTTGTAATTTAACCAGTCACAAGAAAGGTAAGGCCAGCAAAATAGATGAATTAAGTCATTGGAGTGAGTTTAACTGATTACAAGCCCATCACAATGCAAATTAAATGAAACAACCGCGACTTAAAGCCTATTCGATACACAATAAGCCGACTGCTTTAATAAACGAACCTCTGCTAGACGTGCAAACTAGGTTTCGGTTGTTTCATATGCGTGGAGTCAAATTATTGGGTAATCGCTTTTGAGTAAGTTCAGCACTAGGGTTTTCTATCGAGCATCAAATTACCCCATTTAATAACTACACCAAATAGCCTCGATTTTTTCATTGTAACAAAAAAAGCAATCGTAGCCATAAAACAGCACGAAACGTACCAGAGATTATTACTTCCCAACTTGTCAAGTTAGATATAATACCTAATTTAACATGCACCGTAGGAACATAACTCTTATTCAAACTCATCTCTGGTCTACCAAAAGTAGACTTTATAATGACTTGCCCGCATTTTTAATAACTAGCACAATCCAACTCATAGACACCACCAATTTCCTCGGAGTTCCATTGCAAAAATAAATCATTTTATTTGTTACCAACATTTTAATGGCTTGAGCTCACAGTCTACAAAGTTGCGGCTCCAAAGGCAAGACCGAACGTAAATACTAATCGCCCACATTCAAGATATGCCGTGGTCCAATAAAATCATAAGTGATTTTGCCTTAAATGGCTAAGGAAAATTACGCAAACAATTAGAGACAAACCAGACCAACTCTCGATTCGACTGAGTTTAGGTAGAAAAGTATTTCACGTTCATTCGATTTCAAAACGGGTAGTGAGATACTCGATATTACTCTAGTGTGATTATCTAAGTAAACATGGGACCATATGATTCAAACCTATCCACTCTATAATGCAATAATAATTTTCCTTTTTTTTCAATTTCACAAATCAAGAAAGGAGGCTATATTTTGAGAAAAATTAATATTATCAGGGTGGATAAGTCAAAGTAAGTTCATATATTCGGCGAAGCTTTGAAAAAGATTAAACGAGCACTTAAAAAAATTACGCTTTAGACTGGTAGTGATATTACGGGATTTCATTGCCTGTCCTCAATGAACGTCCAAATTACGTTACCGCCTGAAAACCTTGATGCTGATTGGCTTGGACAAATTGCATGTTGCTACCGAGAGCAAATACAAATAGGAACTTTAGTACCAACACACACACGCACACACACACACACACAACGTACCAAGACAACCGAAACTCACCAAAAATACGTGTTCACGAGAAGTGTGAGTTTTAGCAACGGGCAGGACTTGAAGATGTTTAACGTGTGCTTCAATTTCGGGTTTTCCCGAGATGCCGGAACTCTTCTACAAGTAAGGTGGTAAGATGCTTGAATTTGAAAGCTTAAGAACACGAAACGTTCAAACCTCATACAAGCACAAGGAGCCAAAAAAAGGCATTAACAGTTGAAAACGAAAATAATGACATTAGGCGGTGAAGATAAGTCGACTTAATGGGAGAAGCACATCCAATTTTAAGTATTGTTAGAGTCAGTAAAAGCCTTAGCAGCTTGGTCCCAATCCATGCTAGTCAGTGCCAAAGTAAATGTGAGCCAATTAATTCACCTCATAACTATTCCAAATACGAACAAATTTAATAAGTAATAACTGGAATGAGGCAAAACGATGGATGACGCAGTTTATCACTAATCTTCGAAGTAGTGAATCTTACTGGCTGAAGCAGAATATTATCCGAAGACACATGGTCTTCTCCAGCACAAATAAATTCAGGTGATAATTTTTGCGGAGCTGGTTGAAAAAATCACGAGAAATGGCAAAAACGACATTAAAGATTGTGGAATTTCGGGTCATTGTCAGATAATGGCCTTTTCTCAGTGGACTTTGATGATATTGAGTAGTTATTTGGTCTTGCTAAACTGAGCGTTCTCAAGGCTGAAATTACAAATCAGCCGAATAATTTAGGGTAACTTGTCAAACAAAGTGCTAAATTTCTTTCTCAGTGCAACTATTTCCAGTTTGATTGTAATCGATTAGGAATGACTGATAGCATAACTGTTACTGGGAGTCGGTCAGAGAGTTCACCTGGAAAAAGTGATCCATAAATACGCTTAGTCACATTAGATTAGCTTATAAAATATATATTTAATACCAAAGCCCTGTAGAGTAGTTGACATCAGCCACGCACGACACTGCGTTATGACCAAGCACCTCCACAGTGGTGAGGTAACAATAAGGCAGCAATCTGCTTAGGGAGGTGGGATTTTATTCTGTCAACCTGATGTAGGACATAACAAAGATAGTCGTCTTCACTCAACAGTAGTAGGTAGCGACTGTGACATGCGGTTAATCAATGTGAGGCAAGCAAGCATGCTTAGGGATTATCTAGACTTGCGCTTACAGAAAGGAACGTGAAGAATTTCATCCCAGAGTCTGGGGACTTAAGTCCACCCTTTGGTGAGAACGCCGTACTCGTTCGCATGGGATCAGGGGACCCTACAGCAGTCTGGTGGAAGCAGCGAGTAGAAGATAAAATGATTTTTAACTTTTCCGATTGCGAACTACTTATACACTTTAAGAATTTTAAGTGAGGCAACATTGCGTGTATTCAACGCAAACATAAGATAAATCCATTCAATCTCATATACGAATAAATGATAAAACTTCCGTTAGATTAACTTGCTAGGCTCTTTAGGAAAGCTTAAATTAAGGGCAAATTATGGATGACAAGGTAAGATTCTCCGCTTGTCTAGCGAACCCCAGTAAAACTGAATTTGCTTACCTCGTGTACATACAGGCAACTGTAATCCCAGGATTTGAGGGTTGCAGTAATGAACCAAAAACTTTAATTTCTATTAAGTTTGTTGGCTCTCATTATTTACTGAAACAGTTAACAGAACATAACCAGCAGTATCTAAAAGCGTAGATCACAGACCACAGGTCAAAGGCTGTGTGTGGCGGCTTAACATACTGAGCCCGTGTCGATCATCACAAGATATTAGCTATGAGAGTTTGCTTTCGGACGAAGGGTTAACAAGCCGTACAATCTTCTTTCTTACACTTATTTCAAGTTCACTAACTATTCGGCGAGCTCCAGAAAATTAAGTTAAATCCATAAAAGTTTATACTCAAAACATTCTTTGGTTTGTCTACTTTCGCCATCATAGTTAATAGAAGTTCACTTAACAATTTTTCAACGAGCTAGATTTCATATTCCTCACTGTTTGAATTCACCAGACTCAATTTTGCATTTTGAATTTAATATTTTGCATAAATTTAGGCCCATTTGACGGTGATAACAGCATCCATCCAAATTGCGACGAAATGAAACAACCTGGGCAAAAGTAGACGCGACGAGAACGCTTGAGCCCACATATTTGTTGGCTTGCTATTTGACGACTGTGGAACAACGTCGACACAGAATAACAGACCGACTTTGTCTCAAGACCTAGCTCCATCTTACAAGCCCTTCGGTTCTTTTAATGCATCTGACTCGCGGTAACAGAATTCAAGCGAGCAACATCTCATTGAGAGCGAGTAAATAATAGCGTTGTCCAATTAACATCACTGGAATTGGTTTTATTGCAACGGCAGTTATCGTGCAGAGGTAAAAGAGAAACAGTGAGACCGATAGTTAATGGTAACGAGGCTACCAAATGACTAAAAGATGTTTACAGAGATCAGAATGTGAGACCAACTCACTTGTCCTTTTGAATCCTTGTAGACGTAAAGTGTTGGCCCGGAGAGGATGAGAACTGCAGAGGTCCACTTCTTTGGCACGCTGACGCCATTTACGGAGAGTTTCGTGTAGCACACTTGACCCCGCCTCTCCGCTGCCTAAAACAACACGCGCAAAAGGGAAATCAGCACTGCCTGCATGCCTTCATTGCCGCCTCGCACAATTTGAATTGCGTTAACTGACTTCATTACGTCGTTTCAGAAGTAAGAACTTACGCGTCCTAGGGTATTACTAGCACTGCACAAATGGTATTACAGCCGTACGATAACATAAAGTGCTTACGGTTGGTTTTCACAATAAGGAACTTTTAATCGAATGGCTACATCAAAAGGAAACATACCTGAATTTTGTTTTCAATTGGGCCGGTAATGTGATCTTTCGAAACTCGGTAGAATCGGCTTGAGTTCTCTTCTTGAGAGGCAATAGCCGCAAGATTATCGCCACTTCGCTATGAAGTAGGGAAAATTGGGTTTAACAGGTTGTCAACACTAATTATTGGCTAAAACGAGGGGCATATTACATCAAACTTCTGGGTGCAACATTGTCTGTGTTTGCAGCTCATTGACATGAACCCAATGATGTAGCTTGAATAATGGTAGTTTTCGATAGTAATAATTTACAAATATATTGATAGGACCCAACCACTGATAGCAGGGCGAACCGAGGAATGTGGAACCCGAAGCCACGGAGCACAATCCCCAGCTGCTGGCAGTGAAAGGCAACATTCAAAGTAACAAGTCAACCACCAATATGTACTGTGGAGAGTCAAGTTACATCCCTCGAACAATCAGGGTCTGTGAACAGGGTGAGAACAAAGGGCTGGGGTGATGAGAGGGGCAATTTACAGAAATTAAACCAACCTACTCATTGCAGATATCAGAAACTCTAACATCTGTTGGCATAGGTTTTAAAATAATAAAAACAGGAGACGAAGCAGTTATTTTAGACCAATCATGTCAAACGGTAATAACTCACACTAACAGGAATTTTTCGAGCACCAAACTTGGCCTGAGCTTCACTTAGGTCGATAGTATTAATGCTTGCCGAGATCGAATAAGATATGGGAGCCGACGGGAGTTCGCAGAACGAGCTTATGGGACGCTTTGGTGTTGGGGCCACAGCTGAGACACGAGGAGGCTCCACCGTGGGGAGATCCCAAGTGGATTGTCGAGAGTTCTTTTCGTAGTAGTAAGTTTGGCCACCTTCCGACTCTACAGGAACCCACTATACAAAAGAAAGAACCATTAAAATATGTAAACAAAATATTTGCTAACTACTACTAACATCGTAGTTTACGTAAAACATGATTACTCAGAGGGGAAAATTTCTGGGGCCCAGTGGAAGACACTCAACCTGAACAAAAACAAACAAATAAGATTTGAAATCACAGTATAATAAGAAGTGGCTTTTGGTTTGCCAGAAGTAAATCGGCTATACGAATTCTAAATTGATTGCTGGGAGTGAGATCAAACTAGATTACTGACTTCAATATTTGGACGAAATCGAAAGTAAAAAGGACCGCCGACAGCAAAATTAACTCATTAACTGTTAAAGGCTTGAAGAACTGACCTGGAAAATCACATCACGCAGTTTCATCACACTTAAAGTCCGATAATTCATGAAGAGGGAAATAAGAAAACCACATTGCAGAAAATTTTAAACACACGCATTACATTACCTCATTCAAATGCAACAAATACAATGGCAAAAGGCAAGTGGAATGGTAAAGTATGCATGGACATGTTTCGAGGGATCTAACACAGCTCTTGATTCGGTCACAGCGGACCCTACCAGGCCAAGATACAAAGGTAGCTCCAACTGTAACGATGTGTGATTACACTGCACATGCTGGAGTAAGTGGCGCGATGCCTTCCTGCAACTTATTTTGACCCAAGGCGTGCTTTGTGTTGGTTCCGGCACCTACACAAAACAGGTCTTTCTAGCAAAACCGTTGCCTGCTTTAACTTCCCTTTAGTTTCTGTAGCAGAAATTTAAATTTACGCTTCATGAGCGGTTTACTGAGTGATCTTAGTTCACTTCTACCAGGTTAACGATGAAAATTCATCCCCGACATATCGTAGGGCACCCATGTTTCAAGAGCATTGTCCATAAAAATTGATAAATGCTTTAAATTTAGAGTAAATGGCAGTAAAATACAAATCAAGCGAGTTCATTCTTAAAAAACATGCTTTAATTCCAACGAATTAGTTACAACATAGCTTGCGATTATCACTAAGCTTTCATTCCATTGCCATCTGCAGCAATATTTGTTCCACTTAGCTCCCTCACCGTCAATGCGAAATCTTAAATTCCCAAGCGATAATATCAATTTGCCACTTCATCATGCAATAAAGCATGAAAAACACCAATATCAGTGTTAGCATGAATCCTCCTCATTAGGGCAAAATAAATCGAAGTAGTTCGATTCAAATCCAACAAAGACATTCTGGAGGATTACTTTTCCCATAGTTCATTCCACGAGGGTCAGTATTTAATGCGTGCGTATTTCTGGAAACGATCAAGCATATCTAGATGGGCTTCTAGAACATCAGCACTCAAAATATTGCTCAACACAATGGTAGAAGTAAGCAAGGCATCTCTGAAGTTTATCCTTCCGTTTTCTGACACGACTTAGATTACTTATCTTTGACATCTACAACTCTCAGAACCAGCCACATTTGGGTTTAATGGTGACCGAGTTTTAACTCTGGTAACTGCATTACCAGTTCCACACTACGTTTAAAATGTATTCACGTTTTCCATAGTTCTGGTTTATAATTTTACACTCGTAACAAAGCGTTTCGTGTATAAAGCAGTGTACTAGGCCTTAGACATATGGCATTCCTTCTTTGCTAAATCGACTAACCTTGTCTCTTAACTTGTGGGTTCCTTGAATACATTTTAAATACTAATAGGCTCTTACCTTCGACACTCTGAAAATGTGTGCTTCCCAGTTTTAACTTTAAAGTTATTAACCTCATCGTTTTAAAGACCGTAACGGTCCGGTTCAAGGCCTCTTTAAAACTACTTAGCGTTAGTATCACTGCACTTTACAAGGTAGGTTTTAAACGCTGCCCGTTCTCCTAAACCTGACCAGACTATGTTAAGTAATTGTTGAGTTTTTCGGTAGATTGAGAAACTTCGATAGGGCTGTTTCACTTACAATGATTATAAATTGCCATCATTATTCTGTATCCAAGGCCACACAGGTAGAAGCAACCTCGGAAATCCCAACAGTGTAACACAATTGGGATGGAAACTAAAGATTTCCCTAAGCCAACCTGTCACGATGTTCGGTAATAAGAGGAGCTGGTGAGAACAATTCTTTTTCAAAATAACGATTTTAGGATGAATGCCGACCAGTCTGGTCGTTCACTAAGTAGTCTTGGTACATCGTGTGAAAGGAGGCAGACAGCCACAACACATCAATATCGAATGGAAAATGCAAGGACGAATTTTTCTGTTTATAACCACGGGCAAAAGTTGATTCTCTAATCCACACTTCAATCAAAAAACACTTGAGTATGAAAAAGTGCAATGAATTTAGTTTAGACGAGTTGAATATACCTACCTGATCAGATGAGTGTGGATGGGTGTAGTAGTTTTGTCCGTCGACATCCTTCTTGATCACCCACCCTTTAGAGTGCCTCATTTGGGGAACCGATTGGCGAAGAGGCTTCGCACAAAGTTGATCGTCCTTCAGACGCATCCAGATGGTGGCAAAGCAAGTGAAGCAGTGAGTTATGTATGGCATCAAGTAAAAAAATGCAATAAAGCCGAATGAGTTTGATTAAGGTAACGGGAAACGAGCTGTAATAAAATGCATAAAGGTTGTCCACGTTTATAAGAAAAAAGTAAGGACTGATGTCCTTAATATTTACGTGTAAAATTAACGACCAATTCAGCGGCTATGGTGTCACAATTTGAGGTTCAACAAAATGGTACACCATGGCGGCTACACACTTGCAACCTCCATGCAGAAATACTAAAATGAAGCCAGATATACGATTTGCATGGAACGTTTTTGTTTCGTCCAAAACCCAATATGTTGCAAGACGATTTTGTAGTCTTCTGGCATTGGAGGCATTTCACAATTACAAACGCCTGGTTTGAAAAATGTGTGAAGTAAAAGTGTGTTTTAAATGAAATCCAAATCGTCCTCCAATTCTAATAATGAATGCTAATCGAAACCCTTATGCGATTAATGAGGGGATCGGTCAGAAATATTAAGAATTGTAGAAGCAAAACCAATTCGAAGAAAAGGCGATTTGAGAATGGTACGAACCAGTTACGCAAGAGTTGCGGCCCACGATGTGGCCAGCAAGTCCTCTTCCGATCTATGCTAATTAAGACCCAGATACGCGACTTTCGAACATCAAGCATATAAACCCTTATTTGGATACAAAAGACCATTAAATCAAATTGAATAGGCTACGTTAATGGCTAGCGAAAAATTGAAATATTTGTTAAATCGATCTCGAAAGTCAGTTGCACTATAGCCTTACAACAAAGTCTTGGAATCTATCTAAACCTATTCAGGGTGTTATATCCTGCTTCCATTTTCTGAAATTCCTTGTCTTACACTTAAAAAACAGGATAGTGGTTTATCAGCCATAACATTAAATGCCAACAAACCTTTATGTAAAAAAATAATAGGTCACGCTTTGTGCCTCCAAAACTTGCGACTAGGTTGCAACAAGTTTACCAGAATTGTGCCCTTCATACACGAGTACAGACATGATCTTAATTAAACTTATTACGTTCAACCCGTTTAAACATGTGTGTGCTGGCGTTCACATTTGGCCATGACACTAACAGGGAAGAAATAAGAAACTAATTAACAAAATCTGCAAAATGGGTTGACGTTAGATGGGTTCATACTAGGGACGCCTTCCTACAGTGTACGCTGCATGTTTACTAAGGATGAATGACGCGCCGATTAAAAATTGACGAGATTACTTACAAAAAGGGCAGTTTTAGAGTAAAATGCGTTTGGACGTCTCACCGTCGGTGAGAGGACCTTTCGTTCCAATAAAGCACAGAACTCTAAAGCTTAACTTGTACGAAGCCTTAGTGTGCAAATCATACCAATTATGTATTAAATTGAGTGAGTTCCTTTAGTAATGCAAAACTAAGTAAATTAGTTTTAGTAGGGCAAAATAAATGAATGACGTCGCCGAAGAAGTGGAAGGCAGAAGGCTTGGTCGTAGGAGTAAATTAACTTATTCATCTGCAAAACCAAGACCCTATGGTATTACCATAGATAAGAAACCTAAAGGAGACAGGATGTTACGCGCATGAATCCACACCTACTGCATACGTCTAACGGACCTGCACATGTTACAACAACAGGCAGCAAAGGGTCCGTCATCACCGGCAAACATGGGGATCGCCTATATTCACGAGAAAAAACGATAACCTACGATTTCATAAGCGTTGTAGTTCTCTGTAGGTCTCTCCTCCTTGGTAACTGTCGATTTGGACGAGGCACGCGGTGGTTTCGGAGGAGGCACTGAGGATGAAGAGGCAGCGGCAGCTGCAGCTCCTGATTTGACCGTGGTCGCAGGAACAGGGGGTAGAAGAGAAACTATGACATGAAATTGAAATTGGCAAGGTAGCTTTCGGTGAAACTAATACAAACACACACGGGTAAACCTAACTCACCAAAAGCAATATTTGACAAGAAAAACTAAATGCAAGAAGCCAATAACAGTTAAGTTTTAATCAAAGGTTAAGCAAATCAACAATCCGCTGACGACTGGTTTATCAGCGTCTGGTATAAGGGTACGACTAAGATTGAGTAAATTACTGCTCCGAGTGAGCACTATTAATGTTAACCAGAACTGTTCGAAAATAACAACAGAAGAGAAATTAAAACCCGAAATCGCTTACATTAAAAGGCTTCAGTAAATAAAACATGGTGTTGAAAAACTTCCGTCTACAAGTTTTTGATTTTTATCACAAAGGCTTAATATTATAGGTACGGAAATATTCCTATTAATTAAAGGTTTTAGACAAAATATTTCTTTTACATTTAGCATGCATGGAAACGATGGCAACCAGTAGTAAAAAATTGCTATAGCAGAGGTATAAACCTGGACGTAAAGACTCTAGTTGAGAAACCATTTCACAGAGGAGCAATTACTTTGTCCAGATGACCTTTAAGGTGAGCACAAGAGATAAACCATGCAAATATTTGACTTATAAAATCCGATGGTGAAATCAATACGATAAATCTAAGTGTCCCTACAAAAGCAAACTTTTTCACGTGTGGCAGACATAGGGTCTTCGACAGTTAGGAAACACAGGATGAGGCAGTACTTGGTTTAGAAGGCGGCGTTAAATTTTGATGGGCGAATGTGGACGGTCCAGGCGAGGCAGTAGACACGTCATTTGATGCCGCAGACCCAGTATTCGAGGTAAGGCGTTGTGTCCTGGAATCAACTGGCTCCAGTTGAGTTGTCTGTCTTTCAGTGGGACAGCCTTCAAGGAAGTGTAACTGGAGATTTAACTCACAACAATTATACTAGCGGTTTATGAGTCGAAGACTTGCGAATCTTGAACGTTATTGTTGCGTAGTTATACAAATTAATTCACTACACGAGGCACTTTGACAGAGGCAAGTTTCAAGACTGATCTGAGATGAACACGTAACATAAACGGCTAGAGCTAAACAAAAAATTTAAGGACGTGAATGCCATATTACGTGATTTCGTTCGAAACGTCTATGTTTTTGGATATGCTGAAATATTATTCAATTTAAATTGAGTATTTTTGTGACAAATATAAATGATGCAGATTACCAGCATAACTTTCATTCACAGCGATAAAACCCGTCGCAACATAACTTTGATGGATCGAATTAACTGAGTGAAATAACTACAGCTTCTGCCAATTGGGTAGAATCGACTAGTCAACAACAAATTTGGATTTTCAGTAAAATTCAACAACTTCATGTCTAACAAACTTTATTTTGTTCGACAATATTCGAATCACTTTCCACAAAACAATGCCAGAGGTATAAAGTGAGGTAAACCACAAGTGCAATTTCGAGAACAAAAAAAATGCACAAAAACGTATTTTAAGAAACTTACCATCGTTTGCAGGTATATCAGTTGATTCCATGTATATTGATTATAACAAAATATCTAAAATTTGCAAAATACAGTGTAATACTTCTGAAAGGTGATGTTTTCGAAGAAGGTATTGAAACACAGATATAAGCAAATCACGCTGATGACTAAAAAGGACGTATTTAATATGCAAGGATTGAAAATTAAGAATACTATGATTTGTTACTTATATTTTTACCATATAACTTGATTGCAGTATATAGATAACAAACTTAAAAACGCCGTTGACCAGATTCCCTAAGCATTCAGAAGGAGTGCAATATCATTATAAAGATTAGAACGAGGATTGTAGAGGAAAAATATTTTCACTAAAATTAATGGATGACGTGAGCAACAAAGATTGAGATAGAAAAAAAGTCCAAATCAACGAAGTCGGATCTGCAATTTTGAGATTTATGTTGTAAAAACCACTGCAAAATCAAAAAATACAGTATATTTCCAATTAACAACAAGAGAAATACTATGATATGAATCTGGGTCAACTAAACCAATTTAAAAGATTTCTGAATATCATAACGCGAATTTTAAAAACAATGGTAGGAGAAAAATGTTGATCCTGTTTAAATGTAATTCCCCATATTCTATTGGTACATTTTGCAAATAAACCTTAGATAGGAACCTCATTAATTGAGTTTCTCATAGTAGGAGCTAATTAGGTACATAGCCCTTCATAATTAAGTTCAGTACAAATGATTCTCTTTTGTGCATGACTGGGGGACCATGTAATATTAGAAGAAACCAGCGCAAACGTCAAAATGACTGAATTCTTTAATTGATTTTGCGCCTTACAAGTTTCATGAGTTATGAGAAAAAACGTGCATGAAAAAGGAGTAAACTAAATAAGGATTTGCAGAAAAATCAACTTAAGACCAACAGAATCACATGCAAAGTAAATCGACGATGTCTTTTCGAGCAAAGCATAAAAAGCATTTGCAAATGAATAGAAAAAGAAAAAGACAAGCTAGTATCAAAAAAAAAGAAAATCCTTACTCCAAAATAAAGTCGGCCTCAAGGCCAAAATAGAAAACGAATATGGATTTTTAGAACGACCGGCGAGTCCTTAATCATCATAAACAAATGGATCTGTTCAAGTAGTCGAAGTGGTTAGTTATACCATTTTCTGATAGTTTATTTAAAAAAGTTATCTAGCTCTTTTTATTCCATTAGTTTCAATTATTAAAATTACTGACATAGACGTAAAAAATACAGTCTATTTCGATTAAAATTATGCAAATATTTCTGCAAAAATTATGGCATTTATTGGTACTAAGATGTTTAAAACGGTAACCGTAATAGAAATTGACAAACTTACCACAAAAAAGACAATTTTTTCAGCTGACAAGCCAACAGTGTAGTTCTAAAATTAAAAAAATTATAGGCTAGATTTAATATGTTTAACCGAGCCTGTATACGAATATAAATTTAGACTTTTTTATGCCCGTCTTCTAACAGCAATTTCTGTATGCTTAAATGCTCGCTTTTAAAAATATCATAATCTTTGAAATATTTTTTACGCTGCCACAAATACATCTATACTATATGAGTTTCTCGCATTACACAATGTTTAAAAAATGTCCCACTTTAAGAAGTATGTCAATTTAGGTGTCTTGATCTTCTGTCGCATGAGGCATGCAAAAATTCATATTTTAGATGCCAGTTTTTTTATTTCGACCATGTAATGCACCAAAATTATGTAACTGTCAAGACAGAAACGCTTTTTAAGAAGGTAAGAAAACCCCCAAAACCCCTTACGGCTGGGATTTGATTTATATATGCATTGATAAACCTGCTTCATAGTCATTAAAGACTAAAAGGTTTTTGTTAATTGCTTGGCACATCAAAAGCAAATTATATTATTTTGCCTTGTAGTGGCCTTGAATGAAAAACACTAATAGTACCAGCTCATAGTTAACTTCTAAATGTTGTTTCTTTTAGAGAGAAATGATAGCTCAAGTTAAGAAGATTTTCGTGGGCATTAAATCGCAATTTATAGGTGTTCTTTGTAGATTTTGCGACTAGTTAATTTTTAAACTCGCCATCCGTCGTTGTAATTTACAGTAAATCTTTAGATTTTTATATAGAATTGCCACATTGAGGTTGTTTGTGTTTCTCATTTAAAACAACTATTTTATTGAAAAGTTGGACTAATCTAAGACACAGGTGCCGTCAATATATTTATACCGACTGAATATCACCAACATTAATATGTCTGTGCATTTTTTCTATAATGCATCGCTGTTACCTTTACATGAATCTCGATATACTCCTTAACAGTAATAAATATGCATCCTATTTTACGTCGTTTGACAACGGGAAACATGGAGCCCTTGTGTTGATCCTTTTCATATCAAGTTCCAAAAAAAAGAAAAATTGAGGTTGAATCAACCAAATCACAAATGTGCAACAATATGGTACATATTAAGAGTAAAATGCCTTTTAAAGTAAAAATTTGGAATCAATCACCCTACATTTCTTATTATCTGCTTTTGGACTATCCTGAAACTATACTAGCGGGGAAAAAAACTTTTAAATTTCATATTGGACTCATTTGATTATAAGTGTAGTTATTTTTAAATTAAATGTCAATTGTGCTAACATAAACTAAGTCAGATTTATTTCACTGCGTAGTTGAAAGGTTTAGAAACACGAAATATCAAGGATTTAGTCATTTGACGGGAATTTGGAAATAGTAATCACGAATTAAAGGAACTTATCATGTCAAATTAAAACAATTTGGACCTGTTAGGTAACTTCGCAAGCAAAGTAAACCTTAGGAATATTTCACAAATTAATCAAAAATAATAGTTTTCTAACTGTTAGTTCTTACGTTAAAACGAAACACTAGAAACCTTCGCGTTTCGTCCAATACACACAACTTAAATTCGCACAAACATTTGATATCGCCTCTTTGATTCAGTAACAAAGCCGCATGCAATTCACTGCGAACTGTTTGCACGGGCTGTAAAACTGCCTAAGTTAAAAAGGCATTTTGAAGGAGCACTCGAGGAACTAGCCTAAAAACGTGATGAATAATTTTAGAGTAGGATCAATGTATTAATGTCCTTGATAATGGTAATTACTAAATTATTAGTATCGTAATATAAAATTAAAAGAAATCTAATTCCTGAACCCATATCGATGTGCATGTAAAGCGTTGTCAATTTGCTATTTACTGTGCTATGTTGTTGTTAAGCCATTAGTGTTTAACAGGTACAAAAAAAGATTGTGACGTAGAGCCTGCTAAACCATTCAGTAATGCACCATTGACAATGTTTTGTATTTGCACTTATAAAAAAGCTTCCGTTAACGGTTTGATAGGCAAAACGATTTCTAAAGTCAATCAAGTTTAAAAATTGCTCTTTAGTCTCTACACTTACGACAGAATAATTTACGATTAGACTATTTTTGCTGCCGAATATACAAGCATAAATTTGACGCTTCGTCACACTACAAAACCATCAACCAGGAATATGCTATTACGTTAAGCGGATATAAACATAACTGGCATTGATAAATAAGAGCACCGACAATAATCAAATGCTTTATGAAAATTGTCAGTCGAGGAATATCACGCGCACAATATCCTTCCTTAAATTGAATACTTTTAAGGTTGGCTGCTCGTCCGTTCGTATGTAATCAACTCCTATGCTCCTTGTAAAACATAAAAACAGAAATAGTTTAGCGATGTTATCTATTTTAACCAACATATCCCTCCAAACAACTTTAACATTTAGTGACTTGTTCCATTTGCAGCCTGACACGAATAACCATCACATGGTTCTATGTAATACTTGACAATGTTCCAGGCAGTGGACTATTTTTGGGTAACATTTATAGCCTCACACATATATTCTCTAAAATTGGAAGCAGGCAAAAAATATTTAAAAATAAGCATGAGGTACATCAGAAATCAGATTTGGCAAGAAATATTCAAATAGAGAATATTTGGTTAGCAGTGAGTAGTGATCCATACTCAACCAAAAATTGGTGTACAAAAACCAAAATTTTAATCGACTCCGCTCAGTACGTTTGAGGGCAAGTGTAGAATAAGCGATAAATAACCACGCTAGATTTTTTGAACCAATATTGGACTGATTGGGATTTGATCCTCGAATTTTATACATTGCAGAAATTTGTTAACAATTTGCAAGATGCAGGTTTTGGCGTGGAATTTAAGTTCCAGTAAACATTAAAATTGGCTTATTTAAATCACTTATAACTCTTTCTTCAGCCTTTTTATTGAATCACGGAAATACTGCTGGTAACAGAGACTCAGAAGTCTCGACTCAGATCCACCTTATCAAATCCACATTATCTGTGCTCTTGAATCATCTACGTGGAAAATCAGCAGTCCACCGGAAACAATTGTTTATACAAACCACTGCTTCATGTGGGACATTTACAGTAAGAATGGCTTGGATGAAGAGGGCGTGACTGACAGATCTAGGTTTAGGTTTTTAATGATGCCATATATTTTATTTTTTTCCTTGTGCGATGAACCTGAAATAATACCAAATAGCTTCTGAGAAAGCATCAATAAATAGTATTTAGGCAAAAGTAAATTGCTAGGACGAAGTAGCTAATAGCTTTTGTGAGGACGGAAAATACCAAAGTCATCTACTACAAAAAATACCATACATCGTCATTTAAATGACTTTATGCTATCAAAATGCAATTTAATGAAAGTATTCATAAGCTGTGTATGCATACATGGAGAGCAAAACATGATGCATCATGTAGCGATATAGGATACTTGAATATAACACTTGAGATATTAATCCAATTGAACGCACGAGCTTTCGAATCGCAGGTTATGATTCTACAAACCAAGCTAACTTTAATGCGTAATAGGCCAGAATCGTCTTCTAGCGCAGTGCATCTTCTTTCTCCAAACCGGTAACATATTCTTGAATTGCGCTTTTTCCTTTACATATGGCTTTAATTGGCTGCAGAAACTTATTCTTTGGTCATTAAACAACTAATGTTTGCACT